GGAGATTTTGTGGTTGAAAAGAAGATGAAATGATAGATGTGAGTGGTGTTTGAAAGACATGATGAGATCTGGAGTTCCCGCTTTCCTCCTTAGGAGTAAGTTATTGACTGTAAAGGAACCAAGAACTTGCCCCAAAAAACAGAAAATGGTGTTCCAAGCTCCTGATCTGAGACAGTTTCTCCAACCTCATCAAGGTGAGTGGCACTAAGAGGGGATGATGATCCATGCCTGCCTAGAATCCCAGCTACTCAGGAGGCTGAGGCAGAGAGACTGCAGTTCAAGTCCAGCTGATCATCTTAAAATGTTAGGGAGACTTTGGCTTTAATAAATTTTGAAAAAGTTGGAGATGCGCAGCACAGAAGAGCACTGACCTGGCATAGAGTAAGACTGGGTTCAGGAATTAATAGCATCCAAATGGGAGGAGGATGTGGTGAAGGAAGGTCAAGGGCAGTGCTGGGGATTCTAGCGAACGCAGGAGGCCATGGAAGATAGATCAGTGCTCAGTGTGGACACAGGAGAAGAGGGAAAATGAGTATCTGCTGGGGCTGTGATGGTATTATTGGGGAGCAATCCTTCATTCCTATTCACCAATTTGCTAGCTAATCCCAGCTTCTTTGCCTTCCCTAGACTGGGGAACAAATGGATGTTGCTGTGACTCTTTTCCCTCCATTGAATATGGTGAGTTTCTGACCTTTCAAAGCAAATAGATGTCCAATGCTACTGGGTTAAAGAGAAATTATAGTTTCACAAGATCCCTCTCTACCATGTAGTTCTGCCTTACTCATCCTCTGTTGAGATCCACACTGCACCTTCCCTCACACATGCGCAGTGTTTCTGCAAATGCACTATACTCTCTTTAAGCCTCCAGAATGGAGTTCCTCCAATCCTATTGCAGTAAGGTGTCCCGAATCCTCCGGGAACATCACACATGCTGTTTTCTCATGTCGCTCACCCACTTTTTTTTTTCTTTCAGGAATTGGTATTTATTATCAAAGTCATATTTGATGTCAACAAGATGCCACAACTACAAAAAAATTGCACACATTGCAATCTCAATGCAAACAGTCAAATAGAACCCCAGTCATTAGAAAAGTAATTCAAATTACCCCAAAAAGCAAATGAATTTTTTAAACATCTTTATACATCCAGCCAACAAATGAAAATGGTTAACAAGAAAAAATACAAATTCAGAGGTCTGGTATCGATGTTTAAAAAAGGCAACTGCTTAAGCATTTCTATTGATCCAAAACATTGATCTCTCGGCCACTCAGCTTCATGCTGTTCATCATCCAGCAGGCTCTCTCAGCCACCTCTGGCGATTCAAACTTAACCACACCGCAGCCCTTGGACTTCCCATTCTCCATCTTGATGTCAGCATACAGCACATGGCCACAGTCCTTGAATTTGTCCTTTAGCATCTTCCATGTAAAATCAAACGGGAGATTTCTCACAAATATCTGGCAAGCCTTCCTGGCCACCCCAGGAGCATGGCCACCAGCTCCACCAAAAGAGCCTGCGAAGCTTCCTCCAAAGTTTCCACATTCCATCTCGATGGCACAGTCAAAGCTGGTACCACCACCGCCACCCATGGCCAGGCCCATGCGCTCGATGCCAGCGCCCAGGGCCGGGCCCATGGCGGGGCCCATGCGTTCCAGGCTGTT